AATTCTTGAATGGGATTCATTCAATCTCAGTATTTACTTCACTTGGTTTGCCAATTAACTAGTAGTGTCCATCTCCACACTGGTAAATAGATGAGGAAGGGAATTCCAGGTAAAAGAAAGAGCTCTATGAGTACCCAGTCATGTAAGGGCACAGTATACAACTTGAGATCATTTTGGGGATGATCAAAACCAGACACAATATGGGGATTTAAAAACAGGAGGGTACGCTTCTGTCACTGTAAGCCCAATGGAATCACAGATGGTCTCCTAGGAACCTTGCAGGACTCCTACACCAGCTACCTGGGCTATTTTTATCCAAGAAATAAAATAAAATTAAGTTCTGATCCCTTTTACAGTATTTTCTGATTCCCTCTTTCTTTATCTCTGGGGAAAATATGTCCCTTGGTCTTACTAAACCATATTTTTTAAATTCCAACTTCAGCCACCTCCTCTAAGACCTTTCTGTACTAAATATCCTTTCCGCTTTTCCTTCTCGTCCATGCATAGAACTTATAGGTGTCTAGAGTAGGAAAGATCTGTCTGTTTAATCTGCCAAAATAATAGCTGTGTGATCTTAGACAAATTACCTACCTTCTCTGATTCTCATTTTCTTCTCACGGTTACTCTGTGCATTAAATGAAACACTATGAAGCCCTGGCACGGCAGCTGGAACAAAGCAAGCTCTGAATAATGGTAGTTGTTCTTCTTCCTCTTTTGCCTTGATGTGTCTCTTCCTGCTCAATTTATAATCCTGCTCAGCTTTCTCACTTCCTGCACGCACATGCATGTACATCCGTGCACACACATGCACACTCTTTCTTTCAACTCTTTCACATGTGTAAACTTCCCACTTGCTCTTCCCTGCCAAAGAAAGAAGTCTGCTCAGACTCACCCAGTTCCTCACGACCCACTCATTCTTAACTACACTGAATTATACTTCTGCCTCTCTCCTAAATCTGCTCCGGTACCAGCCTACTAAATTGCCAAAGCCAACCTTTTCCCCTCAGCTTTTAACCATTTACCCTGTCTTTAGCATTTAGTAGTACCATTGAACACCTCAGCTTCTTGAAAGTTTCTCTTTTCGAGTCCCTCCAATCAACTGCCTTGACTCCACCGCCCCGACCTGCTCTGTGTGGGGTAACTTTGCCCACTCAGGCAGATTTGAAAGAGTCAAAGGGTAAAAACCGTGGTGGCTCCAATCAGAGGCCTCAAAAAGTCATACCACACTGGCAATAATTTTGGTAAAATGGAGACCACTTTTTCAGATGAGTCTTAAACTTAGTGTTGCTATTTAACCAACAAAAACTGAGGTAATCTTTAAACTGCTTCATACCACAGCCACACAGAACAAAGTGAGGGAACCAGAAAAAGTAGCCAGGGCATTACAGCAAGCACAGTAGAGTCTCCTTCCTCATTTTTTCCTGCCCAGATCTATGCCTAGCTGGCAGGAGCAGAAGTGTCTAAAATTACATGCACAACTGCTGAACACTGTGTATTTAAAGTCTGAGCGCTGATCAGGTACAAGTGGTTGAGCTTTTTCTATAATTATTTTTAAAATTCTTGATCCAAAGCAGTCTTCATTTTGTTGTACGTCAGTTATGACTCTTATACAGATGAATGTCAAGAAATGCTGCCGAATCAGATCATTAACAAAGAAAAGGAACTGAAACATTTCCCTGACCGCCTTTTACGAGGGTTTCACAGATTCTCAACGGAAAATCACGGTGTGCACTACCACAGTTTATCATATTGGTTAACAGCACAGGTGCTCGAATAAGACTGCCTTGGGTCAAATTCCACTTCCACCACTTACTTGGTTGTGTGAAGTTCGGGAACTTACTGCATCTCTCTTAAGACTGTTTTGCTAATCTATTAATCAGGGGGAAACGATGATACTTTTGTCAGAGGGATTTTGAAAAGATTAAATGACAAAATATATGTAAAGTATTTAGGTTGTCTTCAAAATATGTTGTGCAAATGTTCCTTTTTCTTTTGCTACATGTTTTAGCACCTCCTTTTCTGAGAAATTATGTTTTAATTATTTATAAACATACAAGCGTGCATGCGTGCCTGTGTGTGTGTGTGTGTGTGTGTGTGTGTGTGTGTGTGTGTGTGTTGTATAGCTAAATTGGAAGATAAAGCAGGGGAGACTTGGCTGCAAGAAGACATTCTTTCCTGGTGAAAGATTACAAGATCTGTCTCCATCCAGAATAGAAATTGACCCCCAACACTACTTCCTTTAGCACAGACAGAGGGGACTTCAGCCCCTGATCTGGAGAAAAAGAGAAAAGGTATGGAGTATCCCACATCAAAGGGGTGGGAGTGAGGACCAGTGGCCTTCACAAACCTATTCTTCACTGGAGTAACATTTTACTGTTTTATTATGATTATAAAATAATTCTGATTCTGAAAGTTGGCAAACACAAACACATATTAAAGAAGAAACCAAAAATGAACCCTGATCTCATGGCTCAGAGATAACATCTATTAATATTTTAAAGCAATTTCTCTAGTTGTTTCCTATGCATCAGTTTGCACATCTATAATTAACAGAATTGAGATCAGTGACATATATAGTTTTGTCTACCTTTCCAATTGCTCTATTATGAGCATTTTTTAGTCCCTGAAATATCTTGAAAACATTCTTTTTAATGACTACAAAATTGTCCTTTGGATGAATGTACCACAATTTATGTGTTTATTTTACAAACTCATTATTTTCTAATCACAAAATAATTGCATATCCATTTATAAACTTAGAAAATGTGATATATAAATCACCCATAATCTTATTGCTCAGATATAACCACCAGTAATATTTTGATAAATTTCCTTTTAGTAGTTTTCTCTGACTCGCTATTATTGTGTACTTAAATAATTGAGGTCATATATTACAAGTATTTTCCCATGTCATTAAAAATGCTCTCAAAAATTTTAGTGCCTATAAATAATAAATGATATATGTCTGAACTCACTCTCTCCATGGTAGGGAGGAAAGAACTTTCTGGCCAATAAGGACAAAAAATGTCCAGAAATAGAGGGAAAAGGACTAAGTCCATGCCCTCTAAATCAAGAGTTTCTCCAGAAAGATTCCAGACTTGCTTGGCGTGCAAAAGCCAAGTGATTGCTTGCAAAGATCAGGTTGCCAAATCCAAGGGAATGTAAATGTTTGTGTCAGAACTCCTTCGGTTATAAGTGACAGAGCCCTTTCTTAAACAAGCTTAGGAAAAATCAGTAACAAAAAAGTGAATAAATAAAAAGCAGAGATAAGATGGAAAGAAGAAGAGAGAAAGGAATGGGAGAAGTTTATTAACTGAGGAAAATAAAAAGTTCTGTCCCTGCTGAATCCAGAGTCTCAGACAATGTCTTTAGAACTTATTTGTCATCTCTCATCCCTGTTCATTTGTGTTGGTATCATTCTGTCCATAGGACAACAGGGATACTTTCCTGAAACAAAGCTGGTCGGATGCCTCCCTGGCTTACATCTTTACAGCTCTGGATCCCAGAGGAGGAGATAGCAGTTTTCCTGATGGCTTCTGAAGAAAAGGGAAATCATGGTCACCAAAGCTGAAGGAATCACTGGGTCAGGCATCTGGCGATGCTGGTATCTAGGAGCCACCCCTAGTTGGATACAGGAGGGCCAGTTCTGGCATGGCAGGAGGAAAGTTCTTGAAACAAGAAAGAAATGGCAGCAGAGTATGTCCAAGCAGGTAAGAGGTCAGTGGTCACCTCGTCACAGGCAGCAGGCTCATGGGAAGACAGAGAGGAGCAGGCAGAGAATAACTTCCTCCACATCCAGGAGCCAGGAGGTGTGGCCCTGAGTGGCAGTGGGACAGAAACGTATGCACCTCCCTTTATGTAACCATTCACATATTGTTAACCATTTAGATTGTTCCGCTTCCTTTTTCGTCACTCTGCTAAGAACTACTTTCTTTTTTCATTTACTTTACAATAGTATGTATTCAGCAATGATTATAAAATAAACATGTTCATGATAAAATGCAGGAAGATAAATAAATACATATATTTTTACTACCCGGGGGCAACCTAATTGTGTTGTGTGTGTTGTGTGTATACACACGTGTATATACAAACATATATATATATATACACACAAAATAGATTTCATGCTTCAAGTAGAATTTTCATTCATAATTTTAGTTAAAATTAGAAACTTTTTATGTTGTTAAATATTCTTTGATAACAGAATACTGAGAGATATATGATATTTCATCATATAAGTTATCAAAAAATGTTAGCCATTTCTTGATTAGTGGACATTTAGGTCATACCCATTTTTTCACTATTATAGGTAAACCTATATTTGGTATAAATATTTGTCTTCCTCACTGATGATTTCTTTGGCATAAAGCCCTAGAAGTGGAGATACTTGGCTAAAGTATGTGAACACCTTTATGAGTACAGTCACACAGACTGGCCTAGAGTCAGCTCTATCCAGGCTGAAGGTGAGGGGAACTGAGGCCGTTCCACGTGGCCCACGACAATCAGAACAGGGCTGGTGGGAAGCCAAAAAGAATTAACTGGCTGTAAGTCTGGTCTCATGGACAAAGACAAGATTTGTTTAGGTTCCCACTCCACAAGAGCAAACCTTAACGTAGATGCATTTGGGGTTTCATTGGTGTTAATGTGCACAACTGTCCCCAGCAGGCCGACCCCCAGGAAAAGAAGCCCGGCTTCACCCCTTACCTCCACTTCACCTCCGCTTGGACCTTTGCCGCCCCTGCTCCCTGCCACCCAGGCTGGCCCAGAGACAATTCTCTCCACCCAAGAAAGCAGGTGGAACAAAGCGGAGAATCTTACTTGCCAGAAATGTGCCACACAAGAGTTTTTTCCCCGCAAAACACGACGGGAAGGGAACCGTATTTCTTAGAGGCTTCTATGAACTCTGTTCCGGGGGAAGTGCGGAGGCCCGGGGAGCAGGCGATGAGGAGAGTCCTCCAGCATCCTAGAGCAGCCGGGCAGAGCGGGCCGTTAGGGCGGGAGTCCTGGTGGCCGCTCGCAGCCGGGAGAGGAACATGGCGGGGCAGGGCAGGTGGAGGTGACAGCTGCACGGACTGCAGTGAGTAGCAGTCATTTATAGGGGCTGCCACGAGTACAAATCTTTGGGAGAAAGAGCTATGGCCAAGGACGATTTCTGGGATTCTGTCTGTAAGGTGCCGTGTATTTGGTCTGGTGTTTGAAAAACACCCACAGCAAAGATATGCATTAATCTTTAAGGCTGCCAGAGACAGACTCTGTGTGTGTGTGTGTATTTAAATTGATGTATAGTCAGTTTACAATGTTGTATCAATTTCTGGTGTACAACACAATGCTTTTGTCATATAGGAGCATACATTCTTTTTCATATTCTCTTTCACCATAAGTTACTACAAGATATGGAATATAGTTCCCTCTGCTATACAATATAAACTTGTTGTTTATCTAGAGACAGATTCATGTCTCTTTTAAATGTGACTCTGTACAGATACAAGAAACCTGGAAAAAAAACTTAAAAAAAGCAGCCATAATATGAATCACCATGTCCTCTGTAGAGGCACCCACTGTTTTATACAGGATCTGTGGAATCTATTCACTCCACTTTTTTCCTTTCTGATCTTCCACCCAAGTGTTTGCTACCTTCCTGTTTTATGATTGGATTGACTCACCATATGGTTGTGGAAAATGTATTCGGATGTAAGTTCTTCTGGTCTTATCTGCTGCATAATTTTCTTTCCTCACCTTACCACATTCTCCTGACTGATCACAGCTTATTATGAACACAAGGTTCTTACTCATCCTGTGTCCTCCATAACCTGGATCCAGAGCTCGACACCTTGTGTTGCAATATACATACTTACTAAAGTATAGTGAAGGCAAGGAGAAACCTTTTTTTAATTTTAATTTTATTTATTTTATTTCAATAGAAACCTATTATTAAAGAAATGTGCTTTGTCTTCATTTATTCATCAAATCAACAAACACGGACTGAGGATTTAATAGAAAAAAACCTAATTTCTTCAGTCTGTTATACAAACTGCTTTTCTGTTCTCCCTTAAGAATGTGACTTTTCATCTGTTGATCGTTTTAAAATTGGCTCTAAGCAAAGCACATCCTGGAATGAAGAAGAAAGCCATTTCTTCCTGATAAAGACCTGGCTTCTATTGTCCAAGGGTAGAAGAGGTCAGGCAGTATCCTCCCTTTCTAAAGAGCAAAACAGCCTTTTTGTATTGAGATGTTTAAAATTCCTTAATCAAGAAGTGCTTCAGTCTGATAATTAAGGTATGTATTTGGCTTAGTTTATCTTATCTGAGGATGAAAGGAGAAAAGAACTGTGGTTTGGGAAGGGAGGAAGCGTTCTTAGGACACTAGCCACAAGACAGAAAAAGGTGTCTCAGAGCCAAGACAGGCCAGAACAACCTCATGAAACGGACAGTGGTAGCAAAGAAAAGCGGTCAGGGGGCTTTAGAAGCTGACCATGCATGGGCCCTCCACTACACCGCAGTGAGAAGCCAGACGGAGCAGAAGGAAGGGAATTGAGTTTGTGATCTTCACATAATTCTTAGTATCTTCTCTCACCACGTTGCTTCCTGCATGAAACTGACACACAGACCTTTTCTCTGCTAGTTTTTCAGGAGAGCAAGCACTTGTCACCCACAAACAAGTGAGGGATGGTTGTCAGGGAGAGAGTTTTCCAATGACCAACTCTCTAGGTTTGCCTGGGACTCTCCAGGTTTTGCACTGACAGTCTTGCATCCCAGGGAAACCCCTCAGTTCCTTGCAAAACTGGACACTTGTTTACTCTACTCACCAACCTGGAGTGGTCTGACAGAAAATTCAAGTATTCATGAATTCACTAAGACTTACTTTTTTCCCCCACAACTTCAAAATGTTCAGATTGCTTCTCCACAAATATGGCATCACTCATAAACCTGGAAGGGTAGTGAATATTGGATTAGACCGAATACAGGAATTGGGGAGATTTGTGGAACAGATTTGTAAACGACTCACTGCAAATGTTTGGTAGGAAGACACTAATGATTTAAGAAGCAAACAGTGGTAAAAATATAGAGGATTTACTTTTTACTCATTTAATATATGTAGAATGCTGTTGATCCCTTTATTACTGTTTTTATATCAACATAAGGTTTTGTTTGTTCATTTGTTTTGGGTTCAGAGAATGTAACTATTATTGACAAGGGAGTTCACTGGTTAACTTGCAACCATCCTCCTGCCCTACATCCAGTCCTTTCTATGGTCAAAGCTGTTTAACTTTGAATCCTCCTAACAACGTGGTATGAAGAATGTAAACCTCATGCTTGCGGAAGTACTGTTTTCACATTTCTTAATGTTCTGCTGAAAACCATCAGCTTCACATACTGCTGACGCTTCAAGTTCAGGGTCTCTAACCTAAACCAGGCACTCAGCATTGCTGAGTCCTCTCCATTCTCCTCCAAAGGCTAATCTCGTCCCCCCCTCCTCCCACTACCCTCCGCTTTCCCCTTTTACTGATTCACGGAGAGCACAGGCTTCATTAGAAGATCGCCTCCTTGCCATCCTGCCAGCAGAAACCTCAACCCTGACTCCACCCACGTTTCTCTGTCTCTCCCTTTCTCCTGCCCTACTAAAAGAAGCACTTCTGTCTATTTCTAAGTCACACCCCCTACCTTGCTGACTCCATCTCCACCTCCCTCCCAGGAACCCCCACATCAGTTGCCATCACTTCTACCTCCAGGTATCTTCAGCTGCTCCTTCTCTCAGGCTCCATTCTTCCTCATTAACACATGCTGAACTTACTCCCATCTTTAAAGGAAATAATTTTTCCAAGTTTTCTTAGTGCTGGCTACTCATTATAATTACCTGGGGAGCCTCAAAAAATTTTTGGTATCCAGGCTGCACCTCATAACAGTTAAGTCAGAATTGGGAGGGGTGGGGCCCAGGTGTCAGAATTTGTTTTTAAAGCTCCCCAGGTGATTCTAACGTGCAGCCAGGAATCAGAAACACTGACCCAACCTACCTATCCCTCCAGCTACCCCCATCTGTCCTCACTCACTGTCCAACCCCACTTCTGCCTCCTTTCCCTGACCCCTCATTCATGCCTCCATTTATCTGGCTCCTGTGCCCTCCACACCCACTTCGCCCTACAGGGCATCAAGGTCACTGAAGAACTTCTCATCACTAAATCTTGTGCTCCGATTCATTAGTGTTAACCTGTTGACCAGCCCTTCCTTTTTTTTCTTTCATTGAAGTCTAATTGATTTACAATAATGTGTTTCAAGTGTACAGCAAAGTGATTCAGTTATATATATATATTTGTTTCAGATTATTTTTCATTAGAGATTATCACAAGATACTGAATATTGTTCCTTGTGCTACACAGTAAATCCTTATTGCTTATCTATTTCATGTACAGTCGTTTATATCTGTTAATCCCATTCTCCTCATTTATCCCTTCCCCTTGCTCTTTGCCCTTTGGTAACTATGAGTTTGTTTTCTATGTGAGTCTGTTTCTGCTTTGCATATACTTTTTTTTGTAATACTATTTATAGAGTCTACATATACCTTCCTAGGCATATATTCTAGACAAGATGAAAACTAATTCAAAAAGATACAGGTACCCCAATGTTCACAGCAGCACTATTTACAATAGCCAAGACATGGAAACAACCTAAATGTCCATCAACAGATGATTGGATAAAGAAGTTGTGGTATATTTAAACAATGGAATACTACTCAGGCATAAAAAAGAATGAAATAATGCCACTTGCAGCAACATGGATGGACCTAGAGATTATCATATTAAGTGAAATAAGTTGATAGAGAAAGACAAGTATCGTATGATATCATTTATATATGGAATCTAAAAAAATGATATAAATTTTATTTACAAACCAAAAATAGACTCACAGACATAGAAAACAAACTATGGTTACCAAAGGGGAAAGGGTGGAAGAGAGATAAATTAGGAGTTTGGGATAAACAGATACACATTACTATATATAAAATAGATAAACAACAAGAACCTACTGTATAGCACAGAGAACTATATTCAATTTCTCATAATAATAATGGAGAAGAATCTGAAAAATATATATGTATGTATATGTATAACAGAATTGCTTTACTGTACACCTGAAATTAACATTGTAAATCAACAACAGTTCAATAAAAAAATTAAAAGAAGAAAGGAAGGGAAGAGGAAAAAAAAGAAATGCTGACTATAATTCTGGAAGCCCTTAGATCTGATTATGGTCTGAAAATCTAAGCATTTTAATTTTATAAAGTAAAATAAATAAATAAATTTTATAAACTGAAATAAATAATTTTAATAAAAAGGCTTGGTATACCTGTTGCAAGATCTGTTATGTATTTATAGATACAATGGGCATATTAGATATTAGAAAATGTATTATAAGTTATTGTATAGTGCTTATGCCACAATTCTACCCACTTTCCCTTCCTAAAAAGAACAATGCAGCTGTTAGTTAATTTAAGGAAGCCTATTCGGTTCTCTTGCACCATATCAGCTAAGGATGACATGATTCATGTGTGCTAGGAGCTGTGGAGAAAAGGTCAAATTTGGTGATGGTGCTGCTGGCTGAAATTTTTCAACCTTCTAGATGTTTGTTTTCAAAGAGCAATGCAGAAAAAAAAAAAGAAGAAGAAAAGAAAAGAAAAAAAATCAAATTCTAAAATCTGTTTTTTTACACTGTTTATGAAACTACAGTTTCTGAAATCTAAACTAAGTTCCAATTACCAGTTCTAAGAGACGCTGTTTTTCCACAGGACTCCTATGTGGCTTTTAGGAATTCCCAGGGTTAATCATTTGTCTTAGCGCCAAACCTCTGGCTTCATTTTCCTTCGCCCATTTGCACATTTTGCATGCATACAGGCTGTGGGTGTGCATATGTATCCAAGCCTTTGCATATGGAATGAGTATGCTTTCAAAAAGCAGGCCCATAAAAGTTCTAAAGGAGGCAGTGAGTACTTGGAGGCGGTCCAGCCACAAGCTGCAAATGGCGCTGCTGTGATGGGGGTGGGGAGTCCCCAGTTCTGATCAGGCCGCCTTGCTCCCCACAAACC